ACACGATGGGCTTCCAGCAGCAGCGACCCGTGCTTTTCGAGGGTCCTCACAACCAAATGGGACCCATGAGGTTTGATGGTCCCGGTCACTTCGAGGGTCCCGGCCAGCAAGGTCCCAGGTTTGACATTCCTGTTGTGCCCCCAAGGTTTCAGGGTCCCCCTGGCCAGCAGGGGCCTCCCAGGTTTCCCCAACACAACCTGCAGCCCCCCATGAGGCAAATGGCCCCACCTGTTTATGAGAACCCCATGGGCCCCCAGCAGAACTTCAACATGGCCCCCCAGCGTTTTCCAGATCCCATGAACCCTCAGTTCCCTGCAGGGCCGATGACGTTCCCAGCACAACCAAACCTGCAGCAAGGGGGAAACTTCAACATGCAGCCAGCCCCCGCCCCCTTCTACAACCCTGCTCCCCCCACTGTCGGCATGCAGCAGCCGGTGAGCCACACACCTGCCAGTCATGATTACACTCGGGGGGCAATGATCTTTCTTTGAGAGATCAGTCTGATGTATCTGCTGGTATTTTTACTTAATAACATCACAATGTAATTAAAAACTTATATATGTGACTGATGATGAACAGTTCAGCAGATTTCAAAATAAGATAATTAGCAGCAGGATTCCTTATAATAGCTGCCATGTTCTCAAACTCTGCTCTGGTCATGAACATTAATACTGAGAGGCATTTCCTACTGTACTGACGCTGTGTTCATCTTGTCTTGGTGTTTTCAGGTGAACATGATTGGAAACGTGAACCAGCCCTTCCTACCTCAGAACCCAGTGCCTTTCAGACCACCGGGTAAGTGGAGTCTGACCCAGACATGCTGCACCTCAGCCTGATTGACTTTAACTTGTACACATGCACTCTTTGGCAGTCTGTTCCCTTTAAGACCATAAACAGCATGAAATAAAACAGTTAGAATTGAATGGAGGTCAGTGCATAACTCTCCACAGTCACTGGTAACAACAATAGATCTTCACTTAAAGTTGGTGACTTCCAGCCATGTTCGCACTACATCCAGATCTCTCCTACGTAGGCTCTGTTAAAGACTGTAGTGTTTCTAACTGGTGGCTGGTTGTTGTGGTGTCACTGCAGCTCAGCAGGTCCCTCCGGAGAACCACTTCGGGCAGGTTGACGTCAACGACCTGCTGTCCAAACTCATCTCCACCGGCATCATCAAACCCTCTCAGCCCGACGCTGCTCTGAGCACCAGCAGTGGTAAGTGATTGAATGGTCAATACTTGTCTAACTGTCTTACATAGCTTTGAATTCCCTCAACAAAGGCCAGAGAATTAGTCTAAAATGAGCAAAATCTTAATTCTTAAATGTGTTCATTCAGCTCTGTTTTCTGCCACCTGTCTAAGCCCAACTGTGGATGCATTGTGAGGCAATGGTCCCTGCACACAGACAACACAGTACTGTGGCTCTGTTTTGTACCATTGTGGTCTTCGGACTGAGCCATGTGGCAATTGCTGCAGAGGCCTGCTCCATAATCCAGGTCACATCCACTGATGATCGTTTTATACAGTACTGACAAAATGTGATAAAGGTCAGTAACTGTATGAGTAGTACTCCTTGTACGCAATCGTTCTTCGATTGATACAGCTGTTATAAAGTCGCGGTTGTATTAAAAGGCCTTAGTCTCATATGTATCGTGGTGAGGACGCAGATTCTGTGAGAGAAGACAAAAGTTTATTTAAAGCTGTTGAGAAGTGCAGCTGATGTCGTGGCCAGGACTTGCCCTGTAGACAACTGAGCCGTGACCTCATTTGGTTGTTTTAAAAACCCTGTTTATTTTTGCAGAGTCGAGCTCCACAACTCCAGCACCCCCACCTGTGGTGGAGGAGGAGGAGGAGGAGGAGCAGGAGCAGGAGGTGGAGGTGGAGGAGGAGGAAGATGATGTCCCGGACCTTACCAGCTTCGCCATCGATGACATGAAACAGTGAGTACACATCCTGAAACAGTCAGTCAACTGCCAGACCAAGGATGCAGTGATCCGATATTGGTATCGGATAACGGGGCCAATCTGTTGGCTTTGATTCCATGTTATGTTAGCTATGTCATGCGTCAGCAGCATGCCAGTAGACCTGACTCATAGCGACATGGAGAGAGCCAAAGACTCAGCTGTATGGAGGTATTTCACGCCTGCTATGTGATGAGTTCAATGGCTACTTGTAGTATCTGCAGAGGAAATGTCGTGATGGGTGGTGTTAGCAGCTGAACAAAAAAAGAGGAGACGATACGACCGCTCAGTTAACTTTGGCAGATCCACTGCAAAGACATGAGTAACTTCCAAATAACTGCGTCAAAGTGACAAATAACAGAAGGTTCTGGAATATGTTTTGGATGCACAACCCCTCAGCCGTTGAAAATGAAAGCTTCTGTCACCTACTGGAACACCTGGAACCAAGGTACAGTGTACTATCATGAAAATATGTTTCAGGGTGCTCTGCCTGAGCCGTACAAGGAAGTGTGCAAAACGTATCAGAAAAGTTAAAAGGTGTAAAAGCAACGAGCTTCACCACAGACATCTGGAACTCTGACGTCTGCCCCAGGTCACACTCAAGTTCAACTGTCCCTCTGGATGCTGACTTCATAGTGCTGCTCCAAGTAAAAGACTTCATGTAACACACATCAGCAACTAGGTTTGCCATGAAGGAAGAGCTTGACCAGAGGCGTGTTTCTTTGAAATTAGTCAAGCTGCTTGTTTAGTCTGTTTCAGCTGCTGTTTTTATATTGGATTTTGAATTTGTGTTTGCACTCAATGCTGACAAGGAAGTTTGAGTCCTATTTATTTTGAATGCTACTCCAAGTTGCTGCCAGTGCACAATTATTTATTACTCTAGTAATAACAATTCAGTACATCTATATGTTAATCTGGTACATATTGTTTTACAAAGTTAGGAAAGGCTGATGCCTGCATCTCTCAGTCAGACCATGTGACAGTCACACTGCATTAGCTGGAGTCTGAACCTCTCTCAGCTCTTTGCTCATTTTCACGTGAACAGCTGAGGTCGATGTTGCATCTTCAGGAGCGACTTTGTGAACATGTGAAAAACTAGCACCAAAGTTAAAGGACATCTCTGACCGATAGCGCTTCATTCCCTGTTTGTGAATCCCAGCACAGCCGTTTCCATTGTGGTCTCAGATCAGTACTGGTCTTAGTAATCCACTGTCAGAAATAGGCTTTTGGTTTACAACAGCTGAGTTAAAGTGTGTATGTTATTGTGTCCCCACAGGCGCTACGAGAGCATTGTGACCAAGCTGTACTCAGGGAACCAGTGCTGCCTGTGCAGCATGAGGTTCACCACTGCTCAGACCGACATGTATGCCGACCACCTGGACTGGCACTTCAGACAGAACCATGCCGGCAAGGTCGCCAGTAAGAAGGTCACGCACCGCCGCTGGTACTACAGCCTCACGGTGAGAACCACACCTACCCTTCAGACTGACACGGAGCCCTGTCTGTCCTGATGTTTGACATCATTTGTGTGTGTTTCCCCGTCAGGACTGGATCGAGTTTGAGGAGATTGCTGACCTGGAGGAGCGAGCCAAGAGTCAGTTCTTTGAGAAGGAGAATGAGGAGGAGGTTCAGAAGAGCCAGGCGGCAGCCAAGGAGAGGGAGTTCCAGAGCGTGAGA